GCGCGGGAGGGACGACGAGCGGCGAAAAACGTTCGCGCGCGCGTTGGAAGGTGCGTTCATATTTACACTGGTTCCCATACGACCGCGTCGGCGTGGTGAACGCCGATCCTTAAGGGCTTTCTCTCCCGGCGTGTCTCTCCGCCCACCCCTCGCTTTCAATCCCCGCCCACGACGCCATTCAACTCAGCTTCTGACGCCTTTCAACTCCACCAGCATTGTTTCGCCGCGCGCCGCCGCCGCCGCCGCCGCCGCGGTTCGCGCGCGCGAAGCCGTCGCCGACGCCGCCGTTCGACGCGCCCGACCTCTCCGGTCGCCGACCGCGCGAGCTGTGCAAGGACGCCGCGATCGTGGCCGCGATCGTGGTCCGGAGAGAGGAGAACGCGCGGCGCGAGCGGACGCTCGGCGGCCCGGAGCCGCCGCACCCGGATCGAATCCCGACGGTGCTGCCGTCGGATTGGGCGCGGCAGTTGAGGTGCGTTCATATTTACACTGGTTCCCATACGACCGCGTCGGCGTGGTGAACGCCGATCCTTAAGGACTTTTCCCGGCGTCTCTCTACGCCCATTCCCTCGCTTTCAATCCCCGCCCTCGACGCCTGCCTTTCAACTCCGCTTCTGACGCCTTTCAACTCCACCCCGACTTCGCTTCGTATGGAACGACCCTCAGACGGATTTCGAGCGGGATCGAGTCGTGGCCGGAGAAGGCGTCCGCGGGCGCGCACGCGCTGATGAGGGAGATCTTGGAGATCGTCGTCGAGACCGGGAGCGCGCCGATCGATTCGGGCGATGGGAAGAAGGCTGCCGCCGGCGGCGGCGTGAGCTTGCATTTTCACTTCGAGAAGGACGACGACGCGAAGAAAGAAAACGCCGCGTCTCCGACGGCGGCGGTCCTCAAACGCATGATGCCCGCGATGCCGCGGCGGCTGTTCAACAGAGTCCAGGCCGCGTGCGCGGACGTCGAGGCCGCGATGGGCGTGGTGGCCGAGAGGCGAGTCAACTTCGCGGACGCGGGCGCGGAGAGGAGAAGGTTACGGGGCTCGAAGGACGCGTCTCTCGCCGTAGACGCGTGCAAAGCGTGCGAGGCGCTGATAGATTGGTGCTCGTAGACTGGTGATGCGTATGTTTATGCGTACACGTACTGCGGTCGTTCATCGCGCGCGTCGTTCGCGCGCTGCGCGCTCGTGACGTCTTCGCGTCGTCGTCGTCGTCGTCGTCCATCTTCTCTCTTCTTCCGTCGAAACCCTTCTTTCGTCCTTCCGTCTTTTCTCTTCAAGTCCCGTCCTGTCCACTTGAGTCGTCTCTCTCGCCTCGCGCCTCACGCGGGCGGGCTCCTTCTCGCCGCGAGCCGCTCCTCGCGCTTCCTCGCGTTTTCGCGCGCGCGCCGCATCGTGTCCTCGATCTCGAGCTCTTTCACGCCGGGGATCGAACCCAGGTCGCCGCACGTCGCGATCGCGGCGTCGAACGTCGCGGCGGGCGCGCACGAGAGGTGCGTCCACGCCGGGCTCTGGCGCTTGCCGCTCTTCCCGCAGAAGCGCAGGACGTCCTTCTCGAACTTCATCCCGCAGACGCCCTTGCACGACGCGCGCGCGTTCGGGGCTCTCTCGACCACGTACGCCTTGGGCATGACGAGCGAGCGAACGACGGAGCCGGAAGAGCGGGCGGCGGCGGGCGGCGCGCGCGGGGGCGTTTGAAAGAAGAGCAGAGGGCGAGCGGAGCGGAGCCTCGATTTCTTCCACGCAGTCGTTCTGCTGTTCTCGAATTTAAAAGCGCTCACCGCGGCCGCCGTCCTCCTCCTCCTCCCCCCCCGGCGGCCGCCGCTCTCTCTCTCTCCGCCCCGCCCCCACTCGCTCTTCCTCCCTCTTCTTCTTCGCTTTCACCATCTTCAGCCGGTAAAACTCCTCGCGCTCCAACTCGTCAAGCTCCCCCCGCACGTACGCCTCCGTGCTCTCAAGCCTCGGCGCGACGACACGTTCCAACGCGTTGACCCTGCGGTTCGTCGCGTCGATCGCGGCGTCGATCGTCGCGAACGCGGCGCGAAGCGACGCGAGCTCGATCGAGAGGCTCAGCGCGCGCGAGAACTTGACGCGAGCGCGCGCGAGCTCGAGGCCGCCGCGCTCGAGGCCGATGAGATCGGCGCCGCCGCGGCGTCGGACGTCTTTGTGAAACTCGTCCAACGCGCGGACCTCGACCCCCGCGATGTTCTCCGCGCGAACGCGCACGCGCGCGCTCGCTCGGTCCGTCGCGACGAGGATCACGGACGTGATCTTCTCCCCCGCGGCGTACTTCGCCCTCGTCAGCGCGAAGTGCGCGTCCCTCGTCGCGGCGACCATCTCGCGCTGGACGTCTCCGACGCGTCGTAGGATCTGTCGGCGTCGGAGGGCGAGCGCGTCGGACTTGCGCTTCAGGAGCTTTTGGCCTCGCCGCGCCGCGGTGAGCCGAGCCACGACGACCGCGAGGACGGTCACGGTCGGGACGACGTTCAGGCGGTTCGTCGTGGACATCGCGGCGCGCGGCGTGCGCGCGGGGGCGGCGACGAGTGTCGCGGCGTCCGAGAAGAAATAAACGCTCGTCGCGCGATTCGCGCGCGAACAGAAAAACTGAATCCGACTCATGGACGGTCCCGTCATAGTCGCCGACCGCGCCGCGGCGGGGCACGAGCGCGGCGACCCCCCCCCGTCGCATGCCCGCGAAGACGAAGGGAGGGGGCAGCATGGTACGGAGCGGTGTCACGCGCGGGATGTCCACCGGGGTGAACGCCGGCGGCGGCGGGGCGGGCATCGGTCGCGGAGGCGGCGATCCGACGCATCGGTCGTCGTCCGACCTCGGCGGCCTCGCGCCTCCCTCGCGGCCCGTCGCGCCCGCCGCGAAGTCGGGCTCGAAGCGGTCCGACGCCGCCGCCGCGAACGCCGCGACGGCGACGGCGACGGCGACGGCGCGGGAGAAGACGAAGCGCGCGAAGACGTCGACGGCCGCGGAGACGCGCGGTCGCCCGCGGACCCTCGCGCCCGCGAAGCTCGGGAACGTCCTGATGACCGCGGAGACGTACTGCGCGCTGCTGCTTCGACGCGGGTTCACGCCGCTCGTGTCGGGGGAGCGATGCCCGCGCGTGGAGGGGATAGCGGCGACGGCGACGGCGAAGGCGAAGGCGGCGACGGCGACGGCGACGGCGGCGACGGCGACGGCGGCGACGGGAGGAGGAGGGGCGAAGGAGAGAGACGGATCTGAGGTGCGTTCTATACACTGGTCCCCATACGACCGCGTTGGCGATGTGGACGCCGATCCTTAAGGACTTTGCCCGTCGCATCTCTCCGCCCACCCCTCCCTTTCAATACCCGCCCTCGGCGCCTTTCAACTCCAACTGACGCCTTTCAACTCCACCCCGACTTTCGCTTGTATAGAACGGCCCTGACGTCGTCGTCGAGGCGGAGCGACGCGCGTCCGAGCCGTCCGGGTCGGCGTCGGCGTCGGCGTCGGAGCCGTCGTCGTCGATCGCGGAGATCGCGCGAAAGATGGGGTTGAAAGAAGGCGAGTTGGAGCCGTCGATCGCGGAGATCGCGCGGTCGCTGGCCACGAAGTCGGAGGCGTCCGAGGGCGGGGAGGGCGCGACCGGCGGCGGCGGCGGCGGCGGCGCGGCGGCGGGGGAAGGACGCTCGCCGCAGATCGCCAGGAAGTCCGTCGCCGTCGGGCAAGCGTCCTCGAGCGGCGGCGGCGGCGGCGGCGGAAGAGGCGGCGGCGTGTCGGGAAGGATGACCGCGGCGGTGCCCCTCGTCGACCTCACGAACGAGCCGGACGACAGCGACGACGACGACGACGGCGGCGGCGGCGGCGGCGCGGGTCCGGCGGCGTCGATCGAGCTCGTCGTGACGCGGCAGATCGACCGGCGCGAGATCCGAGGGATCGAGGTCAGGGGCGACGACGTCGACGTCTCGTCCCTCGCGCGGAGAAGAAGGACGACCGGAGGACGATGAGGGAAAGACGCGGCCGCGGACGTCGTCGTCATAGACGACGACGGCGACGGCGGAAGAGGCGGGGGGGGCTGAGGCGCGGGCGGAGGCGGAGGGCGACGAAGGCGGAGCTTGCAGTCCACCGCGGGCGAGCCGATCGTCATCTTATAGCGTGCGATAGTGAGACTGCGACGACGACGACGCGACGGGGTAGAGAACGACGACGGACGACGACGACAACGAGTTGCCGGGGAGCGCGGAAGGACTGCGCTACCCGAAGAGTCCATAGAGACGACGTTTAACGCTAGACTAAGAAGAACGACGTCCACGATACGCTGTGATATACCTCCGTGAATGGTTACAGTACGATAAGATAGACTACTCTAGGATTCATCATCACTTCGGCAGCATGGATTTGAATTTGGAGACGATGGGCGCTTCCAAAGGCGCGGCAGGGCTCTTGAAGCTCTCTCCGGGTCCCTTCGGTCGAGGCAGCGGCGGCGGCGGCGCGGCGGCGCCCTCGGGGTCCCCGTAAAACCCCTTACTTTGTAGCGGACGTTGACCCTCAGGGACTTCACTAGATAGAACACCTTTTGTAAAAGGCGAACGACCTGGTGCCTCCTGCTGCGCCTTGATGATTTCGATCAAGCTCTGCGCGTGAGTCGCCCTTGGGGGAATCGCGTTCGACTCTCGCGCTTTTTCCGCTGCGCGCTCGGTGACGTGAACGGCTCGTTGCAGACCGTTCACGAGGTAATGCACGCCCATCGCGCCGACGCCCGCGACGACAGCGGCGGTCGCTCCAACACCCGCGGCGACGGTGCGAGGGCGAACGCCGAGCGAACGCGCGCCGCCGAAGAGCAAGGCGCCGGCGACGGCGACAGGGCCGACGTGCTCGATCGCCCCGGCTGCCGGCTTGACGTCAAGCGGCACGGGTTGCACGTAGTCGTCGACTCTCCTGCACGATTCGGTCATACGAGCTTCAAAAGTCGATTCGTCGGGAGCGTGATACATATGATCCCACCAGCGTTTAATGCCTGGAACGTGAGCGGCACCGACTATCGCGACCACCTTTCTGTGACCCCTAATGTCCTGTGCGGCGAGGTCAATCGAGTGCGCGAGTATCTGGTCGCGCTCTTCAAGTATCGTCTCGTCAAAAGACCAAAACTCACAGCCCATCGGGCACGTGGACGCCCAGATCGTCGTCCCATTCTGTGTACGGTAAGGCTTTCTCCTCGTTCGTATCATCGGAGCAGCATAGCGCAATGACATTATTGTCGACCGCGCGATTGAACCGGTGAAGAATAACGTATTCATCCACGGTGATGTCCGACCCTTTCCACGCTTTCGCAAAGGCGTCGCACACGCCCTGGGCTTCTTCGCGGGTGAATCCAGACTCCTCTGATACGAACTCTACGTACCCATCGTATAAAGCTTTCCGAATCGAATCGTACGCGGCGGTTGGACCTACGGCAAAGACTTTCGCGGCTGTCGCGAGCCACTCTCGCGGATCGAACCAGAACCAGAACCCCGACGAGGGCAACGATTTCCCTTGCTCCTTCGCCAGCGCTCTCGCGTCGGCGACGACTTTGTCGTGAAGGACGCTGCCTCTCTCGAACCGCGCCAAGAACCTGCTCACGGTGGTACTTATGTCGCGGTCGCCCAGGTGGACGTCGGCGCCGACTTCGAGCGCCGCTCGGACTGCCGCTACGAACTCTTCTCCGTCAACCACGGCGCCTCCTCCGGCGATCGCTAGTTTGATCCGGATCGCATTGAACGCCAGACTCATGAGCAGATGCATCAGTAGATCGAAGGGGCTATCACTCGTGAGTAACGCCTTCGAGAACGACTTAAACGCGCCTGAGGTGCTGCCTGCTTTGTTGTCCACGTAGCTCCACATGCGTCGTACGTCTTCACTATCCATGGATTCCACGAACATCATCATTTCGAAGCGCTTCAGGTCCAGCTCGACGACGACGACGTCAGGCTTCTCGCGTAAGATCAACTCCTGCGCCGCGACCGCGCTTCCAGGATCCGTGTGATTCACTCCGAGCACGTGTATCTACGTCGGGGGCGAGTGTGGAACGAGATGTTGAGATGTCGTCGAACGGAAGGCGAAACGTCCGAGAGACGAGACATCTCGAACGGCGACGAGACGGGTCGCGCGATGACTCACCTCGGACGTCGGACGCTCGAAGACGACCCAAGGGTATGGATAGTCCGCCGCGATGGAAGGATGCTCCGCGTGCGGAGGCGAAATCGTGCGGCTCATCGCGGGCGGCGCGGCAGGTTCTGACCCGAACGACGATGTAAGATGTCCCGTCGCGTCGGTTCAGTAAACTTTTTGGCAGGCGGACGGTCTTTTGAGAGTTTCTCTGCTCGAGACGACGTCTACAACGCTACTAGACTAATAAGAAGAACGACGTCCACGAACCCCCGCGTCAGGTCCCTCCGTCCGCACACCGCACCCTAAAACTCCACCGGCGGCAGCTCCGCGTCCGCGAGGTCCGGCAACGGAAACCTCAACGTCGCGGCGACGCCGGTGAGCTCCCCGAGCTGCCTCCCGGACTCGTGCTGCGACGAAAAAATCAACGCCGTCCCTCCGCCGCCGTTCACCTCCTCCACCAGCGTCACCCACCGCCTCCTCGCCGCCGCGTTCGCGTCGCGCAACAGCGCGTCCGTGATGAGCAGTTTGTCGATCGCGCACATCTCGTGCGCGGCGAAGACGTGCGCGGGGCCGTAAAACGCGCGCTCCGGCGCGCTCGCGAGCGTCTCGAAGAAATCGTTCAACGCGCGAACCTGTGGGGTGAAGCGATCGGTCAGTCGACCGTCTTACCGGTCAAACGTTGAAAGGGAAGCGCGGGTGAAGAGTGACGACGGGGAAAGTCCTAAAGGAACGGCGTGCACCACGCGAACGCGGTCGTACGGGGAGCAGTCTCGTCGGCGTCCGCGAACCTCCGTCGCGGCTTTCGTGTCCTTGACGCGAGCCATCACGCTCGGGTCCTCTAAAACCTCGCGCACCGCGCCCTTGAACGCCGTGGACGCGTGCACGAGCAAGAGACGCGACTTGTTCTCCGCCAGCGCTCGCAACGCGGCGCCGTCGTCCCCCCGACCCCCCGCGCCGCCGCCGCCGCCGCCGGCGTTCGTCGCCAGCCGCGAACACTCCGCGTCGACGTACCGCGCGAACGTCTCCTTCTCGAACCCCGGCCCCGCGACGACGAGACACTTAATCTTCGCGAAGTCCACGTGCCGCAACACCGCGGCGAGGACGTTTTTGTGGAATGTCTCCAGCGCTTTCTCGTACCCCATGGACGCGAGCCCTCGCTTCCGCGGCATGGACTTTTCGATCTTCGCGCGGTGCGTCGTCGTCGCGCCGCCCACGAGCTGTTGAAAGGCGTCAGAAGCGGAGTTGAAAGGCAACGCGGGCGGTGATTGAAACCGAGCGGTGGGCGGAGAGATGGATGCGCCGGGAAAAGTCCTTAAGGATCGGCGTTCACCGCGCCGACGCGGTCGTACGGGGACCAGTGTATAGAACGCACCTGCAGATTTGCGAGCCCCTCCGTCACCAGGAGCACCGCGACGTCCGCGCTCGCGGCGGGATCCGCAGCCTCCCTGAGCCGCGCGACGTCGACGACGTCCCACGCCTCCTTCTCCACTTTGATCGTTCGATTCACGTCGAGATCCAGCGTGTGATACGCGCCGAGTTTGACGTGCGGACTCTCCGTCGTGTTGCGCCCCTTGACGCGGATCGCCTCGCCGTCGCCGTCGTACTCCACGAGCTCGACGAGGACGCGGAGCTTGACGCGCACGCGCTCGGACTCCGCGGCTCCGAGCCCGCCGCTGGCCTCGCGCGTCACCTTGCGGAACGTGGACGCGGTGACGTGATCGCCCGCGCGGACGAGGTTGAAGATCTGCCAGACGTCCTCGCCCGTCTCCGGGATGACGCGGAGATGCCCGGCGCCGCCCTTCGAAGAGAAGCTCTCCTCCAGGAGCTTCATCGCGCTCTTCCTCTTTTCGCGCGAAGAAGAGGGAGGAAGGTTCGAGAGCGCGCGGCGTGCGCGGCGCCCGCGGACGGAACACTGACGCGGCGGCCGGGTGATGAGTGGGCACCGACGCGGAACTGCTCACAGTTTCTCGAGGGGGACGACAAAAAACTCATTTGACGTTCCACGACAGGACGCGAGCACTGCGACGCGCGCACGATGTCGTCGTCGTCCGACTCCGACGACAGCGACAGCGACGACGAGACGCCGCGGTTCGCGGCGGCGTGGGCCCCCTCGCGATCCCCCGGCGCGGTGTCGCTCTCCAGCCTCGGCGAGGACGGCGACGACGACGACGACGACGACGACGACGACGACGACGCGCGATGGCGCGAGGAGCTGGACGAGATGCTCGAGGCGTCGCGCGAGCGCGGGCTCGAGCGCGCCGCCGCCGCGGACGGGAAGGAGAACGCGTCGCCGCCGCGGTCGCCGCCGTCGGCGGGCGCGCGCGAGGACGAGTTCGCGTTCGCGGTCGCGCCGTCGCCGTCGCCGTCGCGCGATGACGACAGCCCGCCGAGACGGTGCGCGTCGCCGCTGCGATGGCGCGCGCCGAGCGCGCGGCGCGGGCTCGAGGACGCGCTCTCGGGGTTGGGCATCGACGTCGCGCGCGGCGTCGCGTCCGCGTCGGCGTCGGCGTCCGCGTCGGCGTCGGCGTCGGCGTCGGCGTCGGCGCGCGCGAGCCCGGCGAAGCCGCCGCCGGCGACGCGTCGGACGACCCTTCGCGCGGCGTCTCGAAAAACTTTGAACGGCGCGACGACGACGGCGGCGAAGCCGAAACCGAAACCGACGCCGACGCGGCGCCCGTCGCGCGCGCCCGCGCCCGAGGTCGAGGACGTGCGCGCGTCCATGGCGTCCACGGCGTCCTCCGCGGCGTTCGCGTTCGCGCGCGCGAGGCGTCGACATCGTCATCGCGGGCGCGGGCGCGACCCGCGTTTGTCGTCCGATCGCCGACGGCCGACCGTCGCGTCTCTGGAGATCGTCAGCCTCGGCGAGCTCGCGACGCGCGCGCACTACTCCCCGTTCGCGCACTTATGGTGGAGCGACGACGTCGACGACGATCTCGAAGACGACGCGCCGGTGCCGTTCCCGGTCGGGTACAGGATGCGCGCGCGCCTGCGCGGCGGGGACGCGCACGGTCTCGGCGGGCTGTCGTCATCGCGCGACGGCGACGGCGACGGCGCGACCGCGA